CCCCCTCTGTGAAACCTGAAGTCAACTAAAGGGCTAATGATAGGCATCAAAACGCCTGCCATTTGATATAATAATCGATAGCACAAACAATTATAAAAAAGAGCGACACTCACTCTTGACTCGGTGTAATTTTGGATTCCACCTTCGAGAGAGAGGAGGTGGGGGTTGGTAAGTGACTAGACATAGGGAAAAATATAAATAGTACTATTTAATAGAATAAAATCAAAAGAATGATTAGGTATGGTGAGCAAGTAAGATGAGGAAGACCCCAAATTATCCTCGTTCAGTAAACGAAGCATTCGCCCAATTAATTCTAATGCTAGAAAATTGATGGATCAAAAGTATACGTCTCTATTTATCACAACTTTTCAGTTTGATTTCATTTTCAAAATATATACGTCCGATCAACCATTTGCTCGATTACTGTCACCCACTACCCTCATGAAATAATTAAGTTTTACTGGCAAATTCAAATTTAATTGAGAAACGTATATTTCCTCGTCAATATTTCTAATTGACTCAATAAATCTGCATTGCCAAAATATCTGAAACTGGAGAACCTTTCTTAGGGTGGGGAAGGGGAGAGAATAATATGTAAAACTTGACATGTACTACACTTGGACACAGAGTTATTTACGAAGTAAAAGGTAGATAATTGAAACTGTGTAACTACTCTCGTGTAAAAGGCGACAAAAAAGCTAATGCTTGTATCAAACGACCTTCATGTCACCGTGGATACATTGATCGGGGAGGAACTGGGAATAATTTAAGCAACATGTGACAGTATCTACCAAAATTAATTTATTTCCAGGAGACGCTAGAACAAATTCAAATCAAATTGGCTTATACAATTTTGTAACCTGCCGACGAAATTAGAAAAGCATGACCAAATGACTTAACAGAAACACATTCGAAGAACTCTAAAAACGTAAAAACCACCAAAGAGTATCGGCACCAATAGAAATTCAATATCATATTGTTAGGCATTGACTGCAATTGTTATTATAGTGATGATATTTTTTTAACCTCAAATCACCCCATTTTTCCAAAAGACGAAGTAAGATGAAGCCTACTTGATGGGAAACTTACTGCCTCTTAATCCGCATTATCACGAAATAGGTTACAGTTGAAGCGTTTTTCTCATAAGCTGTTCTCAAATATATATATATATATATATATATATATGTAAACAAAGACGTGACGTGATAAGCGCTAATCTTGGGGTAATTTACCTGTTTAGACCATGAACTACCGTAGGAGGGAGGTCATTGCAGTCCGCAAGCTCACTAAAATGAATGTCAACATATAAATGAAACGCAAGAATACACAACCAATGACACGTGAAATTTACAGTTAAAAGAAACCGCCCAAATAAATGCGGAATTGAACTAAGGAGGATAAGGCATATTGAAGATGCTCCTATAAAAACCTCACGTTAACAAACGATTTATTACCTATAATTAACTAGTGCGATTGGCAATCCACATTGCTAGATATTTGATAACCTCTTAGAACTTGACTTGCCAGACCCCTATGCCAAAAATGCATATCTCTGGTTTGGCAATAGCAAGCATCCTATTGTAACACTAATCACTCACAAAAAGTGATACATCAGCATCATCTCCATTGTTGCTATATGTAGAAAATTTTTACACGAGCATTGAAGATAAGAATGTTACGGATAATAAAAGTAACATACATCTCGAAACCATTTTCGCAATGATTGGTGTCATTCACTTCCAACTGGGCAGCGAATTGAGGACAGATTTGGAGAAGAGTCTGCACAAATGTATCTTGAGCTTCAGCTGTGGTCATATTTCCCAGCGCTTGCCACCTGGCTCTAATATTTAATAAAAAAATTGAATTTGAGTTTCACAAATTAACATTACCTGCGCTCTTTGCCAACAAAATCAAAAACGCCAACGTCTGGCGCCTTTCCAGGAGAAAATGGGCCATGTTTAACTTGGTTAAATAGGGCCGAGAAAGTCAATTTTTGATCATATGTCAAAGTAAAAGCTTTATTATTCTGAGCTACAAAATTGTGAACGTATGAAAGACAGTACCTTTATAAAAATGGCAGGCAATATCGAAATCACTATCCTTCATCTTTAGATGAACTGAAACTCCTGCTTTAAAAATGAAAAATAAAATGGCATACATTAGATAGAGCACATATATCAGTGTAGCTTCTAAATAAGAATAAATCGAAACATACATAAGTAACAATCAAGATTAATTAAGTAATTAGCGTCATCTATTAATATTAGTTCAATTAATAAATGACCACCAAGTAAACAATTATAATTATATAAAAACACTACCGACGCCAACAATTACCCTTATTAAGTTATTGCCAGTAAATTAATTTAAAAAAACAAGAATGAGGTTAAAGCCTAGTAGAGAGAAAAAGAAAAATAATAAGGAATAATTTTTGAAATAAATGTATGACTATTTAAATATTGGAATCATATTTTATTGTATATCTGTATGTGTTGCAAATATATAAAGGCTGTTAAAAGTAATAATTTAAAAGTATAAAATTTGTTGAATCAGACTATCAACGCTGAATTTTAAAAAATAATGCCTTACTGAAATAATTAGTTCACTAAATTTCTCCAAGTTTAGCCGCTTCATTTGATTTTGTCTTTACACAATATGGGCGAGTTTAACGAGGCGGACGGAATTGCTTTAAAAAGGCTTGGTGAGGAAAGAAAGGCATGGCGACGTGATCATCCATTTGTAAGCTAAGTAGTTTATTGATTTTTCAGGGATTTGTCGCAAAACCGAGGAAAAATGCTGATGGGACAATGGACCTCTTGAATTGGGATTGTAGCATTCCCGGCAAAAAAGGAGTAAGCTCAAGATATCTTTGTACGACTTTTAGACGCTTTGGGAAGGTGGCCTTTTTAATCTGAAAATGCTTTTTAAATCCGAATATCCAACAACTCCACCTAAGTGTAAATTTGACCCCCCTCTTTTTCATCCCAATGTTTTCCCATCCGGTACAGTATGTCTCTCACTCTTAGATGAGGAGAAGGATTGGCGTCCCGCAGTCACAATTAGACAAGTGAGCATCTATTTTCTATTTATGGTTTTTAGATTCTTCTGGGTATTCAAGATCTTCTAGATCACCCAAACCCAAAGGACCCTGCTCAGGCCGATGCTTACACGCTCTTCATTCAAAATCGCAAGGAATACGATGCCAAGATTAAGAAACAGGCTGAGGCTTTCAGAAATCCCAATTTGGCATAAGTCGGGAATCAGTTTGATTGTAAATAACAATCAGATTTCATTGTTTGATGTGTAATGTTAATATAATATATCTAATCAGTTTCTTAGATTTCCGTCTTGTTGTCTCGTAACTTCGTTCTCAGTTTCATGCATTCGATCACACGATATTCCTTATTTTATTTTATCTCTTTGAACGTTAAGGCCTGATAAGGTTTTTAATCATACAAAGTATATGGCTGGTTCGTGAAGGTGTGTGGCTATCTTCCTTTTCTACAGTATTGTTTCGGGTTGTCTTTTATCCCTTACCGATTTAAAAGTCTGACTGAAAGCATAGCAGCCAACATGACTCGCCATATCCTAGTTTAGTCCCTTTCATAAAACTTATTTCAGATTGATCAGCATGCTTTTATTCAAAATTTACCATTTTTATTGAAACTCAATAGGCCAATAGTGTCCCTTTAATGCCTCTTAAACCTTCGTAAAATCACTCATCTTGATTAGGTTACCATATGTGGTGTATGTGGTTTGTATTTGCAGATGGCAATTGAGACTAGTCAAGTTTGTACTGTTTACGGTCGGCTTATTTGAGTAGACATTACGAGAGATGAGATGGTCTTGAGAAATTTTTGGATTACATGCACGGTGATGATGATAGGCGAGTTTTTCAACAACAACTATATGTTTTCCAAAATTATGAAAATATCTTTGTTTTTTAGCTTTCATATGAAATTTACCCAAACCCCGTCTATTTCGACGATTTTTACTCAATAGTGCAACCCCTCTATGTCTCACATACCTCCTTGCCCAACTGACTCATATAAGCTGCTCTTGCAATTTCACCCTCATACAACACGTCCCTTTGCGTCTATTGTTTGCTGTGATTAGCTGCTAGCTACTGTCTTATCTTCTCCAATCTGGTGCACTGGTAACTTCTGAATAGCTACCCTCAGTTTTTGTTACCTCAACAGATCTATTGGTATCACAACGCAGATATTTTAAAGGCATTGAGATTGGAGATAAAATATGGGGTAAGCGGACTGTACCATTTTCCTGTATTTTTTGCACATTTCGCGCTATTTGGGCGAAAATCATGAGTGACGATCAGAGATTACTAACCGAAGAATAAGATTAAATGAATAGTATTCACTAAAATCTTCCATGAATACAAATTATTTTGTTAGAAAAGGTTGGTTGAGGGCCAACTCTATTATCTTTTTTGACCATCTTAGCTTAAAACAAAACTAAATTTCACTGCCTTTACCACTTCCTATTATCGATTAGTGAACACCGCTTTGGCGTACACATTAGTTTCGGTGACTCAGCTGTAGTTTAGGTGAACTGTAAACTCTATCTTGTTCTACCAATAACGAATCAAATACCTCTTTGTCTGTTTTAATGATCAAATGCACCTGAAACGCTAATGCAAAAGAATTCACTAATCGGAAGAAATGGATATCTATTTCAAACGTATGATCTAATATTAAACAATAAAAATCCTCCCAAATGGTTGAGTTGTGTTTCCGAATACTTCTTCTGATGTACTCACATTTTACTAGCTTAAAGAAACAAATTAGTCAAGAAGATTTCCCTTCAACGTAGCGCTATGAACATTCTGGTTACTGGCCGGTGCTTTCTCACAAATTCATGGTCATTGTCAGACCGTTAAAGTTTAAATGCCTCAAAATATTATAAATTAAATGACTACTATAATCGAACACATAAAACGCTTTAAATGGTTCTTAGCCAGAGAAATTGTTTTTGGATGAAAAGGAGATAATTGAGTTAAATGAGAGCGGAAATCAAAATAAACATTTTTCATATTACTAACGATAATTAGCATAAATAAACTAGACAAAGCTAGAAGTAAAACATGGTCTTGTTAAATCAATATTTACTTTACTGTTTGCTGCTGTGACAAATTAAATATAATTGAATTCCTGTTGATTGCTAGAATAAACAACAAGTTACAATAAAAATCGTTAAAAGTCAATAAAGTTTATGCACATTAAAGTTGAAAAATGTATAAAAGATTGGTTATTACATTTTAAATAATTATTCTAAATGTTAAATGTAAAGCAAAATGATTTGTTAGTAGGACTAATTGTGTCCTTGTACTTGAGGCCAGATAAAGGCGCTTACATCAGAGAATTTCCTTTACAGGTAGCTTCAGTTAATTTGTAGCTATTTTCACCAATTTTAACCCGCATTTGTATTGCTTTAAAAAAATTGACCAATTAAAAATAAAATTAAGACAATTCGTTTTCAATCGTGCATATGAACTTGATCTATATAATTTAATAAAATTTATTTCATTAAACCATGGCCTTAAATAAACCGTCTCAAATTTGAAGGAATTCCCTTTAGGAGATATTTTAATGTTTAACAAAATATCTACTCTCTTATATATTCACTATATCTTTTTGTTTGCAAAAATTTCAATTTTTATAAATATTTATTTCATTATACCTTTGTTATAGCACACAGCAATGTTTGCCTCAAGCTAATAGTTCGTAGTTCTTTTTATATTGTCCGTTTGATTTCTTTTATTTTCTTAAATTTTATCAAAAATATAAATGTCTATAGGTCCCCATGTGTTGGTTCATTATTCAATCTCTTGTAGTCTATAAATTTATCCACAGTAATTTTGATTCCCACTTGCTGATGCGGCAGTATTATACTTTTTTATTGATGAGCAATTATATCCAGTCTATAGTATAAGTTCTGATTTGCGGTCATCGATTTGACTCGATTTTTTGTCTAACATTTTATTATTTGAATATTGATGTTTTTACTTCGATTATTGAAAAATATTCTAGTACCGTCCAAATAAAAGTATTTCTTGAAGTTGGTGAAATACGTTAGGTCAACATATTCTTTACATTCCTGTACCCCCAATTTTCATATCATTATACTGATACTCTTTAAATTTCGAAACGCCTACTCCACCTCTTTTGTGTCTTATGAATTTTCCAGTTGTTTTGCTTAATTTTTGTAATATTTATTGGTCCCTCTCTTGAGTACGTTTGCTTATTTACGAATGAAATGACTGCTTTAAACAAACAATTCTCAAATTTCATCGAAGTATAAGCAGTATGCCGTCAAAGTTTTAGACTTCTAAAAGTTGAAGTCATTAAAAGGAGATTTCGGTATTAATTTATAATACATTTTTACTCTTCGAGTGACAATTTGACATAATTGTTCATAACAATTGCATCTGCTGACTGTAATAGCCAAGTCTCCTATGCATGTTTTCATGCACAAATATATAACATATAGAGCAATAGACATACAAGCCATCTTATATTTTGACCCACGTGCCACCAATTTCTTTATGATTATGTTAAGTAACTTTGTAGTCTTAGTCTCTTTTCTATGACACTTTTAATGCTAGACCAACTCTGCCATACCTGTTTGAGGTCAAAAGATAACATTTTAGCAGTATATCAAGTCAATACATGTTAAGTATGAGCCTATTTTTTATATTGAATAAAAGTTTTTTAGGTAGAGTCTAAAGGTACTGCATATATTATTGAATTCGAATTATGAAATGCTCATTGATGTTTGGCTTATTAATGCATTATAAACGAAAACGTCTTTGAGGACATCTAACATAAACAGACTAGGTGTATAACTCAACGCACTAAAAAGCCAAGATTATTGAGAAGGAGAAATGAATATGTGTACTTGTTCCTCTAAAGCATAAAATCGATAATAAAAGATTATAAATTTCTCTAATTTCCCTATCCTGTCTTTGCGTGAATTAACTTTGAACCATTAAAGCCGAGAAGCCTTAAATGAGAACACGAGAACAAAGTTTGAACTCATTTTTTGCACTTTACACGCATGGATTCCGTATAGACTTGACAGAATTTTTGCTCCTTGTTTTAGATTTATGAAAAATGGCGTTTTCAGAAAAGTGGCAACAACTTATGAATTCCGTTTCTCTTGGTATTAATCGCGCTACTCAGGTAGGTTAGTAAATACGCAACCTACTTATAATAAGATGGGCGATGAAATGTTCGGCAATGCACCGAAAACCGCATATGATAAGGAGACAACAACGGGATTCGCGTATGCCGACTTGTTGAATAAAATTTGCAGCGAATTGAAATTGCAGTTGGAATCAATGTTTACCCCCAATCCAAGTGCGTCAATGGTGTTAAACAACTATCCCATTTTGTTTCTTTTGACTTTCTTTATTTTTTCCTAGTAAGAAGAGCAGCAAAATTATTTACTACTGAATTAAATCTTAATGTGCCGGGAGACCAGCCTCCATTGGAGAAATTAGCTAGTATTCTAAATGATTGCTATGTAGAGATGGGAAATACGGACTTCTGTACGTTATAATTTCACTCAAATTTATCCTGCCTTTTTTTAACCGCTTTATAATCAGAGTCGAACTTGCACTTTAGCGGAAACATTTGTAGAGTTTGCACCGTCGCTACTGGAGTTAGGCAAGTCGGAGCAACAAATGAAAGTTGAGATTAAAGATGGATTGCTGGCAATAATTAATGATTTCTTAACAGGCTATTGGCCGGATTTACAGGCAAGTAACGCAATTAATATGTCCGCAGTTTTAATGTGCTTGTTTGAATATAACAAATTTACCAATGACAAAATAATGAAAAATGGTAGAAATATTGCGAATTTGGCATAAGATGGGGAGTACTTAATGCTCGAACATTCTAAATCGAGCATATAGAAGTATGTGATTATCAATGAGTAGAAATCAATTCACAAGTCATTTAAGTCCGAGCTCTGGGCTTCAATGCCCACCAATTCAAACACAAGGAGATGGATATGCGCACAGATTAAACCTGGCCAATTAAAGTGTGATCATATTTGAGTACTCACTAGCATGATGCGAAGCTACTTCTCTTCTAATCAAGACTAGTGTTGAATTATCCAAATAGCGTTGAAGTTATAAAGAGTGCATCGATATCGCAGTAGTCAACTTACAAGTCTGAATAATCGGAGCAATGGGATCAATATTCATTTGTGTGCATCCAGTGAAGTGAATGCCCGATCTTACTATCTTAATCTTACCAAGAGGAGGGGCTTTAGAAAATGAAGTTCTCATAGGATTGTCTCCATGATGAATCTCATCTTTACAAGTCAGGCAATAATAGCTCTTTCCTAATGTGCGTCGAATGTTAAGTACTATATTAATACAAACGTTTGAATTTTTAGTAATTCTGATGTGTCCATAAGGGGTATAAGTTCTTTTTAAATCCAATATGTAGACCAAGTAGATTTCACCTCAAAATCACGTACCTTCTTCTTATATGCACATTAAATTTCAAATTTATGGTCTACAATGATGAAAATTTTTCACATGAACGTTTTTAACAACCATTGATTTTAATATAAAAGTCGATTTTATGTAAGTTTAATATTAGTAAATTGAGCAACGACTTTGATTGAAAACTTGCATTTATTTATTCCTAAACAGTACAATGAACATTAGGTAATAGTTTGTTTTAATTACGCCTATTTTAGAGGGAGCGCCAAAAACTTGATCTGCTTCGTCTTGACTACGACTGGTCGAGGAATGGAAAACGGAATAGGGTAGCTTTAATGAAATTAAATTCGTATTAAAATATTGCCTCCGAGTTGAGATACTTACATTCTGAAACGTGCTACTTATAAATATACTGAATTCACTGACATTGCGCTAATTTTGAGGTAAATATTTCGTGGTGGTTTTTGTGTTATTCGGGCGAATGAGTGAGACATACTAATTTGGCTATTCCTAAATCTTGATCCAAGGTAATGTGATCTTTAATCACCAAGTCGTTTTTACTACTAATAGTTGTAAGTAATATAATAGCAGACGGATGCTTTGCAAATTTCCACTTTATTAAACAGTAAATAATCATCTTAGAAGTCTGACTAATTGCAGACGACCACAACAGCATAGCCCTCTAGCATTAATTACTGGCCTTACGAATACGCATTGCTCATAGAGTGAAGTGGGTTTATTGAGATTATGGTGACTTGTAAGCTGCGATTAGGAATAAAATGAACTCACTAAGCCGTAAGAGCTTCTTCACGAGTGACGAGATTGTTCGCAGTGCATTCGACGGGACGATGGCACTTTCCAAATTATCTTTTTGGTCAGCTTTGGCAGGAGTGGGGAGCTCCACAGCAGGAAGCCAGAAAACACGAAGTGCTGGTTCTGAAATCGTTTTGGAAAAGTCCCAATTCTTATTTACAACTTTAAACACCTTAAAAAAGAATAAATTAGTGAAAAATCCAAACTGCCAACGAGATTCTCAGTAAAGTGCTGAATTTTTTTGTAACATAAATAAATACAATTACTGCCAACTCGCGATAAATAAAATTGCCAGTAGATATCTAATAAATGTTCATAAATTAAATTTATTCTATTTTTGTGTAGTTGTAGCCTTCATAAAAATTTTCACGATTATTTATTAGATGTGAAATAATTAGCATTAATTGAAAGAAAAAGGTTTGAAGAGTAGTACCATATTAATTGCTTTTTCTTCTTTTACTTGAAGGATGCAGAGAAAGCCGAGAAAGCGAAGGAAAACTTTGAGAGGCAGATTTATGTTGTTCAGGTACTCCTCAAACAATGTGAGGTGACCAGGGTAAGACCGCTTTATAATCATTTACAATTTGTCTACATGCGAATTTGATTTACATCAAATGGCAGGCTTCATGATAGTTATCATTAGTTCGTTAGTTGACTTCTGGCTTCACAGAGGGCTGGGGAACATCGAAGTCACAAAAAGTCGAAAGGGGGGGGGGTGGACCAGAAAGGTGATTAACAAATGTGGAAGAGACAGACACAATGTAGAGAAAAAGGTAAAGTGGAGAGAGTACTGTGGAAGATGTCGAATATGACATACAGTGGGGTCGTGGTAGTTTGAGTCAGAAGTATTTATTTATTTATATCAAATGGCAGGCGTTTTGATAGTTATCATTACCCCTTTAGTTGACTTCAGGCTTCACAGAAACATCGAAGGGAAAAAAGTCGAGAGGGGGGGGGGAACAGGAGAGTGTTACAAAGATGTAAATGAGACAGACACAAAGGTAAGCTGAGTACTGGGGAAGTAATCAAATATGACATGCTGTGGGGTGATGGTAGTTCGAAGTCAGAAGTCAAGTTCTGGTTAATGGACTATCTCGGTCTGAAATATGTATGCATCGACACTTATCTCTCCTTAACGTTCAAATCCAAATACTTTAATTACTAAATTTAGTGGGGATTTAAAAATCAAACGTAAATAACGCTGGGGCAAAACAATTATTTACTAACTTTCAAAGTTTCTTGTTCTATTTCAGGATAAATTGGCGGCCGGTCTTTTGGAAATGGCCAAAGCCCAGGACCGACACTATGAACGCTGCGAAGAAATCGTACAGGGATTAGCTGTCAAAGCAAGTGAAGAAGAATATGTGAAATAGGTCATTTGGGTGGCAATGACCTTGTTTTCCATTTTCTCTTTATTCTTTTGTTGTTCCTGCCTCTCTCAGCCACTAATAATGTTAATCAACTTATTTACTAAGACCATCTCCATAACGTAATATGTATCGTTCCAAAACTTTTAATTAAAATTTTGCATTGAAAGAGGTTTCTATGCCTTCCTTAACTCGGCGTACAAAGGAAGTATCCTCAACCCACTTTTGTGGATAACTTGCATTTTACCGTCTCTACTATTGATCAATATTATTCAATGCGGTCGGAATCAAGGTTACTGAATGTGCTAATAATTAGTTGTAGGTTACCACCACTATTTCATCACGTGCAGTTAAAATGAACATATTTTGATTCGCTTTTAAATGATTATGTTAACTACTTTAGGGAGATTTTACTGGAAGTGACCGAAATTATTTATCCATCAGGGGTTTTTAAAATGACCAACTTACCTTAATAGCATCCTGAACATAGTTTGTTTTGGGGAGAATTGACAGCTCATAAAAAATTGATTTTCACATTTTTTTTTGCATTCTTCCTACGTCATAATTAACTTCCCTCCTAATTCCTCGTTTGAATAAATAAGCAATATAGTCTTTTCTGAAAAGAAAACGAATTTAAAGATCCATGACCTGGGCAGATATTGGAGAATGCAGCTCGCTGGCAAGTATAGCTAATTTTTTTATGAAAATAGTATATTTCGGATTTCCATCAAATATCTTATGATTTACTATCAGATTGGTAACTCATGGGATTAATATTTATTTATTTCAAATGGCAGGCATTTTGATATTTATCATTAGCCCTATAGTTGATTTCGGGCTTCACAGAAGGGAGGTACATTAAAGTGAGAAAAATTCGACAGGGGAAAAGAAGAGCGATTCACAGATGTAGAAGACAGGCAGACACAAAGGCAGAGAAAAGGCTAGATGAGTACTGTGGAAGGGGTCGAATATGACATAAAGTGGGGTCATGGTAGTTTGAAGTCAGAGGTTAACTGCCAGTTAATAGACTTTTTTTGCCTTATGAGTATACGTTGCCCAGGGTGCACCACGTGGAGGTAAATCTATCGCACACCCTAGGATTAATATTATATATTACTGAAATTACAAGAATTCAGTAAATATGAGGCTCACGGTGCATAGGAGTTACCAAACCGGAACTTGAACATTAACCTGGATAACCCTAATGAAAAAAGAAAAATATAAGAGAAAAACTGGCAATCTCATATGCAAATCCTTAAACAATATGCTGTAATTATGTTTTCAGGGTAATCGAAAGGTTACTCTCTATATAAATCACCATACACTTGTCATTAAACAGAAGTAATTTTTTATTTCAACGCATGCACAGTCATGAATTGGCGTATGGAGCACAAGGCCCAAGTTCTGATGATTTTAAGAAATGGAAGACCAGTACTTATGCACAACTCAGTAATTTTATAAAATTCTGATTGGTAAGTTAATTATGCTAAGAATGTCATATATTAAATCCAACTGCTAAATTACATAAGACACATATTTACCTCGCTAGACCCCAGCAATCTGTGATAAAAATTCATTAGCATGAAATTGCTCCCGAAATTAGCTAAGTTACCTGAACAGTATCGAGGAAATAGAGAGTAGAGTGCGAATAGCGCTGATTGTGGTTGTGTCACTGACATAGTGCTTAGTCATTTAAGTACAACTAAGGATTCATTAGACAATGCATTGGTCAATGGTTCGCTTAGAGGTCAATGCATTCACGAACGCACTTGTCCCCACGCGACAAGTAGCACAGCCGCACCGTCGGGTTCGTCTGGGTGCGAATGTGATTTCCATGTTCAGCTATGGCAATAAATACAATACAATAAATCAGCCTTTGTCTGATGAGCATTTTGTTGAACAAAACTCAATTTACTTTCCACTGAATTTACCAAGCACTTTGGAAGCATAAAAAGGTAGATTTCTTAGAAAAAACACTTCGGCCTATGCTAACTTCTTGAGGTCGTTCGTGTCGGCATCAAAAATAAAAAAGTCCCAAAGTGACAAATTTTTAAGGGGAAAATATAAGAGTTGATGCATACTTTAACTAATTCGTGATGAATTAATGAAGATGATTTGAAAATCTCTTAATAAAATAAAATTGCTTGCACCATCTCTCTTACCCTTTCTCTAGGTCATGTTTCCTTTGATAATCTAAAGCCTATCAATACTTTTAACCTCTTTAGATAATTATAAGTGTTAGAGAAGTAAAGTATTTAACGACTACTTGAACTGGAGAGAATGAACTCTAGAAATGTGTTATATGTTACAGACAACAGTTATATTTCTTGAAAAATCTTCCTTTGAAGTTTTCGAGTTATAAATGAAAATTTAGAAATTTGTTAAAGAGATTGAATGAAACAATCTGTTATAAGACCAAAAATTGCAGTTATAAAAATAAAATTATTATGGGATAGGGAGAGCAACGCTAAATTTTACATGTAATAAGCTAACTTCCACCCCTTTCACTTTAGAACCCCCAAGGTCATTTTAATTAAAACAGAATTAAATCGCAACTGAATTGCCGCTCCTAATATTAAATTGAAGGTCAGAACGAGTTTATTACCTTAAACGAAAGTATAAATAAACACCAAATAATAAAAAATTCAAATGATAGTTATAGTTTCAGTCAGCCTCGCCTAGCTTTTTCATAAACTTATTTTTTTGCTCGTAGACACTGACTTGAAAAAAGTTCATGTTTTCTATTTCAGATTTGATCCACAGCAACTCACCTTATTAGCTTTTCTCTTCTAATTGCATAGTTTTCTAGTATAAATATCTTTGGTCATATTATAATACAGCATGTGATTGAAATACCTCATACCTACTGATGAGCAATAAACAAATCTACTACTTCAATTTTAACCGACTGACTTGGCTTCATTGATGTCTAGAGAAATTTATGAATTTGCCAAAGTTTGTTTTGCTTAAAATTCTGCCTAAGATATAAACAGACATAAGTTTATTCACTACAAAAAAATTATCGATCGAACTGGTTCGATGTGCTAAATTTGTTCTTAAATATTTTGCGCAGTAATGAGCTAAAAAGTTCAAATCTAGATATAGAGTTATTATAGCAAAAATATTGTAATATATTCAATGCTGGATCAAATATTTTATAAGGACTCAATTAATCTATTAACCACATTAATCTATACCACATTAACTTGCTTACTAATTTGAAAAAATAACTTTGAGTAATTTTGCCATATAATAAATGATATCGCCTGAAACATGAGCAAAATCATTTATTGAGAGAGAAATAAAAACGATTTTTAAATATTATATTTGAGTAAAGGTAAAGAATACGATTAAAAATCATATATCACTTAGAATTGCTTTCCATATATATATTTTTTTACTTGAAAATGAAATTGCTTCCAAATATGCATTTATGTTCGTCACTATTTATTACTAATGGTCATCAAATTAAGTCAATATTGGCCCTTATGATTTCTACTTTGTGTGCCATCATTCTCTAAAATGATAAGATTCCTATCTTTCTAAAATAAGCTACAAATGGATTCTGCACAACCGAATAAATTTAAATACTTTATAAAAAAAGATATGTAGTAATTTCTTCATTCGTTTATTAATCTTCAGTGATTTACAAAAATATCAAATATTATCAATCCTCGCCATGGTGAGATCATTTAAATATCGTCATTTGTACATGTGAGCATGGACTTACGCCTGTGATACAATGTATGCAGAATAAACATTTTTTTATTTTATCGGAGTCGAGAAAATCAGTTGTTCTGTGATTTTCGAATATTTTCTTATTTTGGAGCATAGTGCATAACACCCCCAACAGTAATCTGATGACTTCCTCAACGTCGTCCACTTAATTACTCTATCCTGTTTCGAGAATTCAGTGGAATTCAGACTGCGTTTCGGATTCTTCAACTGTCTTTATATTAGTGTTGGCGGAATTAACAAATTCAATATTTTATGTCGAAAGTTGAGAGAACAGAATATCTAGAAAAATAATTTCTGCGTTTTTCTAAATATTTTGGAGTAAGCGTAATGCTGAAATGGAAATACGAATCTACACACATTTCCCAAATGACTTTTCGAAATACAAGGAATTTAAGTATTCCAATTTTAATCGCCTTAAGATTTTATATTGTCTCAAACATTTAAGTAAAATTGTAAAGTTATTCAATAACTCTATTTTTAGTATCACTTATTTTATATCATCTAAACTCATGAAAAGAAATTCCACGAACATTAAAGAACAGTAGGCATTCAGAATTGAATAGTTTGTAATAAGGACTATGTCAAATTTCACTTAAATTCGGCATGGGAGTGAAAAACTAATTAAAACTGACATTTAACGCTAATTCTAAGTGCTAAATTGCAGGAATATGTAATTTTTCATATTTTTGTGTTCTCTTATGAGTAACAATTACTCAAGCACTTTGGGATGCTACTCCTAGAATTTTTATTAATTTATCTAAGATTATTAATATGAAAATAATTTTACTCTCATTAGTAAAGTTTGTAGATTAATTCAATCTCTACATTAACTGTCATTTTTCTCAGAGCAAGAGTCAGGCATTCAAGGGATTCGTGCCACCACACATTGAAATGAATGATGAGGGAATTGAAGACGACTCACGGATTTGCTTAACCCGTGCTGAAACTCACACTCAGTGATATAACATTTTCTTCAGTCGAGCGGAAAGATCGTGTCTTATATCCAATGAAATAAGAAACAGGGCATTTATCATCCCTTGTTGACCAGAAGTAACCAGTGCACCTCGATATTCGTGTCACTAAGTATTTATATCACGCAACCACCGATTTTTCTGGACCATATACTGACCACAACACTAGTTGTCAACATTCTGTTAACCATCACCAAAATTGAAGGATTAATTATTGCTGGTGAGGAATGTGTTTACTGGACTAAAAAGAATATTTTATGAATAAGGCTATTCAATAAAAAAGGATTTTCCCAACTC